TGGTCATGGCTGCTCCCTGTGGCCCTGGGGCTGCTGCCTGTGCGGCTGAGCACAGCCCTGACCTGCTCGGCTCTGCCTGCCTCCCGCTGTCCTGCGGAGGCCTCAAGGCTGCTCCTCCCTTGGCCTCTCCCTTCCCGGAGGCTGCACGTGCTCCTTGGCAGCTCCTGTGCTGTCCTTGGGTGCAAAGGGCCACACGGGAACCCGGTCCCGGGACCCTGAGGGAACTGGCGGTGCCTGTGGCCCCCCGGTGCATGGGAGCCCTGTGGTGCCTGGAAGCCCTGGGTGGATGGGCTCTGCTGCCGGCTCTCTGCGCCCCTCTCGCCCCCTTAGCCCAGCGCGGGCCAGAAAGGGCTGAAATTCCCCTGGGGACCCGACCAGCAGCACGGGGAGCCGTGGGCATCTCCTCTTCCTCTGGGGCTTCCACAGGGGCCAGTGCAGGGGGTGCCCAGGACGGGGATGGGGAGGCAGCGCTGCTGCCCTGGCAGCCTGGGGCTGCCCCGGAGCCCGTCCCGGCACCCATCAAGGGGCAGGAGGGAGCCCGTCAACGTCCCCTGCGGGGACAGGCTGTCCCTGCCTGCCCGGGCCTCCCGAAGGGGCCCTCCCACTCCAGCAAGGAGCACCCCAGCGCTGCGGTGCCCCGTGGCGCAAGGAGATGAACCCCGGCCTCGTCCTCTCTGCTCCGCGCATCACTTCCCCTCCTGCTGCTCTCGCGTCTCCCAGCCTGGGCACAACTTCTCTTTCGAATGCTCAAGAGTCTCCAGCCCCTTTCACTGTCTCCTCTGCCCTTGACTTTCTCCCACTTCTCTCTCGGGCAGGCACCAGCCCGGCTGCCCCAATGCTCGGCTGGGCGCTCGGAGGGGCTGGCCCCGCAGCAGAGCGTGGCCGGGCAGCGCGGGGCCGCTCGGGCTCCCTGTGTGCTCCGGGCTTGGACTGCACATGTGGAACCGCTGGCGTGGCTGTGCCGAGCGCGTGGGGCCAGCACTCTCCTGCCAAGCTGCTATGTGCCAGGGGACAGAACGGGAGGTGGGCAGGTCCCTGCCAGCCACCTGCTGAGCAGGGAATTGGAGCCCTGTCCCTGCTGGCCCTCAGTGAAGAAGTGGCTCTGGGTTCCTCGCGTGTGGGCTCTTAGAGGGGCTTGGCTGCACTCTTGGGGTAGGGACCCCCTTCTCTGCCCCAGCTGCTGCCTCCCAGATTGTGGCTCCCACGGTGCCACCCTGGAGCAGCCCCAGGCGAGAAGGGTCTGTCGGGGTGAGTGTAGCTGGGCTGGCAGCACCTGGCTCCCAGCACCTAGAAAAGGTGGCACTGCCTGTGCAGCTGGCGGGGTGGCAGAGGAGGGGACTGCCAGCTCTGTGCTGAGAGGCGGCCGGAGGCTGGGAAACCAATGTGCTGCTTCCCTCCCCGTGTCCCCAGGAGCCTCCCGAGGACGACGCCAACATCATTGAGAAGATCCTGGCCTCCAGAATGGTGCAGAAGGAGGTGAGTGGCAAAGATGTGAGTGGGGGCAGTGGTCCCCAGGCAGGGAGGGGATGAATCCTGGCTGCCCAGCACCCCCGGAATGTGGTGCGTAGCAGCACTGAGCTCTGCTGAGCCATTCCCTGGGCAGGGGAGGGATGAATCCTGGCTGCCCAGCATCCACGGGGCTCCCCTGCACTGGGCTCTCCCGCTGCCCTCGAGCTCAGCCCGTGGCCGGGCCGGAGCGGGCCTGGCCAGTCCCAGGCTGCAGGAGGGGCCTCCTCCGTGTTCCGGGGCTGCTGCTAACTGTGTGCCTTGCTTCCAGGCTCACCCCGGCGGACTGGCCTACGAGATGGAGGAGTTCTACGTCAAGTACCGCAACTTGTACGTGCAGCGCTGGGCCCTGCCCGCGGCGGCTCCTGCGCAGGAGCCGGGGAGGCCTCCCGAGAGGCCCCTTCCCACCTTTCCCCCCACAGCCCTGGCTCCCCACTGCCCTGGGGAGCTGCAGTCAACGCGGCTGCAGTGCCCAGCAGGCCTGGCCCTGGCACTGCCGTCTGCGGCGTGGGGCTCCCTGCGGCGAGGCACAGGCTGGGGGCTCCCTACGTTGCTGGGAGCTCCCTGCTTGTCTCTCTGGCAGGTGGGACTTTGCCCAAAGGCCTCTCTCGTGTTCTGTCGGTTTTCCCTCTGCAGCTCCTACCTTCACTGTAAGTGGGCAACGCTGGAGGAGCTGGAGAAGGACCCGCGGATCTCTCAGAAAATAAAGCGCTTCCGCAACAAGCAGGCGCAGATGAAGCACATTTTTACCGAGGTGAGCGCTGCGTGCAGCCCGCTGCCGTTGTCTCTCGGCCCTGCTGGGCCCACGCGGCGGCTGAGCAGGCAGAACCCTGCACTGCCCCTGTGTCGCTCCCGCAGCCACAAGCCCCGGCCAGGGCCCCCGCC